GTCCTTGAGGTGGAGATGCAGCTAACCTGGGTATTCTGCCAGGAACAAGCCCAGGTCTGGCAGGGGAGGTGGGGCAATGGAGTGGGTGTCTGAGCAGGGGATGATTACCTGATTCCCACTCCGTGGCCAGGCTGAGATTAGCTGGCAGACTGTGCCTATTTGGAGAGAGTGAGTGAGCCTAGAACAGTGCCTGCTATCCCTGCCATGGCTCCCTATGGGCACAAAGAACTTCTGGGACAGCTGTCTATGGGATATGTGCCTGGGACTGCCTGGGGGCACCCTTGAGATCCTTGGGTGGGTCCGTAGAGGCTGCAGGGGCACTCCGTTCCTCACTGCCCCAACAAAGGCCCATTTCTGGGCCTGAGAGCGGTGTCAGTGTCTGAGGACTTGCATGTGCGTTTGTGGGCTGTGTCCACAGGGTGCCCGGCTTCGTGCCCGCGCCCTTACCGTCCTCGGTGGGCACGTAGAGGTTGAGGTACAGGCAGTCCTCGCTCTGGTTCTGCACGTAGGTGGCGGCCGCCTCCAAGTTGTCGGTGAACCACACAGGCAGCATGATGGCGGGCAGCGCCCCGTGCAGGTTCTGCGGGCAGGCGGGCGGCAGGGTGGTGGCGTTGCGCACGCCGGGCCACGAGGCGGGCGCCTCAGGCGGCTGGAAGCGGCGGGCGCCCAGGGGCGGCGTGGCGTAGGGCACGCCCAAGAACTGCACGACGGGGCCCAGGATCTCGTTGTTGAGCTCGCGCCGCACACCGCGCACTCGCCCGTAGGCCGTGTTCACCACCGGGAAGCGCTCCTCCCCGAGGCTGCCGAGGCCCAGGCCTGGGCCGCCCGGGGCGCCGCCGCCGGGCCCCCCTCCCCCCCGTTGAGCCCCCGCCAGCCCCACCAGACACAGCGCCAGGAGCCACATGCTGATCGGGGGACCCCCCCTCCCTCCCCGGGACCCCCCCCCTCGGAGAGAGAGAGAAGGGGGGGGAGAGGGAGGGAGGCCCCCCTCGCCCCAGGAGGGAGGAGGGGGTGGGGGAAAGAAGGGAGGAGGGGGGTGGGGAGGGACCTGGGTTAGACTGGACAGAGAAGAGGTCTGTTCCTCTCCATGGAGGGGGCACGGGGTGGGGAAGGGGAAGGAGGTGGGAGAAGGTGAAGGCAGGCCCGACCTGCGGGAGATGGAGCGAGAGGGACAGGGCGGTAGGATACAGACAGACGGACAGACAGAAAAATACAGAGGAGAGGCGGAAGAGGGGAAGGGAAATTGGATGGGGCAGACAGAAAGGAACGGGGAAACAGAAGAGACAAGTGGTTAGTGACTTGGAATTCAGACCAAGTTGCCCCCTTCTTCCACCCACAGGCCCCCTGGCACCTCCCCACTCCCACCCAGCAGCCCTTCTCCCCTCAGCAGGCGCCCTGGCTGGGGGTGGGGTCCAGATGTGGATAAAGTCCAGGACCCAGCCTGAGAAGAGGAGGGTCAGCTCCCCAGACCCAGCATGCCCTCTTCCAGCTGAGGTATCCCTCCCAGGCAGGCTCTCCTCAGGGACTCAGGAGTCCCAGTTCCCACCTCCCTGAGAGGGAACAAAGTAGACAAGGAAGAGAAAATAAAAATACCAAGTCATTAATTAGCAGGAAGTGGCAGGTTTGTTTATACCTGTTAATTACTTCTGAGCTGTAATTTCATGGCGCTGAACCCCCTCCCCGGGCCAGACTCAGGCCTTTCATGGGACTGCACAAACCCAGCACCTTATCCCTGCTTCAGCACACCATTCGCTAAGGATATGTGCTGCCCAGGACCCCTATCTCTCCAGGCTCTCTCCATGTCTTCCCTCAGAAGTTGGGGTGCCTTGACGCTGGGATTAGAGTAGGGAGGGGACGCTGGAGGGGCAAATCCAGGTACAGATGCGTGATCCTGCAGCCGGTTGCCGGGTGACGGGATGCTGCCCTGCAATGTTACCTCGGCAACGGGCTGCAGCTTTAACCCTGGAGGGGGGGTCTGGAGGAAGACGAAAAGGGGCTGGCTTGGTTTGGGGGTCCACTCAGGGCATGAGGGGAAGGGCAGAGGCGTGAGACAAGATGCAAGAGTTCCCCCCAACCTTAGCATAAAGGAAGAAGTTTATATGTTGAGAGGAGGGGGAGATTGGGGGCACCAAGAACCCTAAAAGCCCTGCCTCTTGCCCCCTGTTGGCCAATCAGAGCCTAGCCTTAGTGACCAGGCTTCTGGCTGGGGAGAGGGGTGGTGAGGTGGGCTTGAGGAGACGTCACAGGAGCCTACTGACTATCCCCCTCCAGCAGTCTCAAGCAGCCTTGGACCCCACCACCTCTTCATCTTTGCAAGCTATTGTGACCCATGTCCTGGGGGCAACCCTTAGCTTTCTTCTCTTCCCATCCCATCCTATCCATTCACCCACCTTCCCCTTGCTGCCCCCCCCCACCTCAGGTTGCTGCTCTGATGCTTGGGTGCTCAGGGCAGCAGGGGCCTGGCAAGGGGAAAGATCAGACCAGAGGGGCAGGCACCCAGGTCATTTTGGCAAGCCCCCCCTGCCCCCCCACCAGCAGCCAGAGCTGTTTGCTGACGCGGAGTTTTCAGAGCCAGGCGCCAGCCAACGGGTGGCTCTCTGCAGGTGTCAATTTATTCCATAGATGAGGACACAGGAATCCTTACCACACACACCCAGCCATGCCCCCTGCCTTTCAAGCGCTCTAAGGTTCCTGTTCCCCCATCACCTGGAGGTGGCTCAGGCTGATTCCCCCAGGATCTCCTTTTCCTGTGCCAGACTGGGCTCAGCTACCATGGCCTTGCTGCCCCCTCCCCCTCCCCACAAGATCTGTCTCAGTCACCCTCTCCTCCTGAGGGTACTCTGGGCCCCTGGCCTCCTCCCGCCAGCCAGCTCCGCTCCCTCCTTCCCTCCCACTGGAGGCCCCCCCATCTCTCTCCTCTCCGTAGTGCTCCCTGGGAGCATCTTTCCTGGGCCTCTTCCAGCTTGCTCCAGCTCTTGCCTTCAGTCTCTCGCCCTCCGTCTTTTTACATCTTTCTCTTCTGTATCTCTCTCCTTGGTGTTTCTCATTTCTTTCTCTCTCTCTCCTCCAAATACCTTCCCAAATTCCCCCCTCAAACCTTCTCTCTCTCTCTCCTCTTTCCCCATCTCTGTCTCCCCCGTTTTCTCTCCCCATCTCTGTCTGCCACATCTTGCTCCCTCCTCCTTCTCCCCATCCCTCTGCCTTCTCTCTCCATTCCTGCCCAGGCCTGACTCCCCCAGCCAGGGAGAGTTGAGGGATGGGGGCTCAGGCCGCAGGCCCCTGCTTCCTGCAGTGGTGAAAATGGCTTGGCCAGGAAGGGGAGAAGGAGGGGGAGGGGGAGATGGGAACACACGGGGTCTGTGGGCCCATTCAAAGGATCATTCATGGACTGGAGAGAGGCAGAGACAAAGAGACCAAGACGCAGAGACACGGCAAGAGCATCCCTAGGCGGAGACACGCAGACAGAGCAGGCTGGGGGAAACCAGGCGCAGGGAGGGAGATGGGGAGAGGGAGACCCCAGTGGACCGCCACACAGCCCCCTCCACCGGCCCGGCTTAGGTCCTACCTGGCTCAGCCCTGGGGCCGTGATGCCTCCATCCAGGGCTCCGAGTGGGGGGCGAACGGCCTTCGGGAGGGGGCGGCGGCCTCTGAGCCCCCGCGGCCCCGCAGGCCCAGCCCCCGCCCGCAGCGCCTCACCCGGCGGGGGAGGGGGATCGCCCCAGCCCCGGGGGGCGGGGCCGGGATCCAGTCGATCCCCGGGAAAAGGAGAGCTAGGGGATGGGATCTGGGGGAGCCCGAAAACAGGGAACCCCGCAGCAGGGACGATACAGCAAAGAGGGGGCAACGGGACAGGACTAGATTGGGGGTCCACTGGTTCCGTGGGCCAGCTTCGAGGGACCAGAAGGCGGTCCAGGCAGAGGATCCTAAGGCTCGGGTGCTGGAGGAGGAGTACACGGCAATCCCCAGGGGCCCGGGGCCCGGGAGCGCAGGATCCGCGGTGCAGGGGCAGGGATCTAGCCGGAATCCTCGGGGAGGGGGAGGGATCTAGTCGATCCCGAGGGCGGGCAGGAGGGGGAGGTCCGGGGAGTCAGAGGAGGGCGGGAGCCGAGTCCAGAGCCCCAGGGCGGGGGTCAGCGCGGCTCCTAGGAGGGAAGGCGGAGGTGAGGGGAGGCTTCGAGGGATGCTCAGCAACCGGGAGGCCCGGACTCCCGGCTCCGCGCGCCAGGGCCCGCCCGCCCCGCGTCCATCCCAGCCCGAGAGTGATGATCCGCCGGCGGAGCAGCCGCAGCAGCCCCGCGCGTCACCGCGCGGCCGCCTCCCCCGCCCCCTGCCGAGAGAGCGGCGCACACCCCCCGCTCGCACCCGCCTGCCCGCCCGCCCTCCGGAGAGTGGGGGGATTGGAGATGGTGGGAGGAGGCGGGAGTGGACAGACGGACAGATGGACGTAGCGGGCCAGGGCAGGGTGGAGACACCCCCCTCCCCCGATCTTCCACCCTCTGGGCTCTCGCGGTCTAGGGAGGGGAGAAAATCTGAACCATAGGGGGCGGGGCATCATGCAAAGAGGGCGGAGCCTTCATACATGGGGAGGAGCCATCTGTGCAGTGGGCGGGGTTTACTGGCAATAGGTGGGGCTTGGGTATCTTTGGGGCCGCCTCTTTTTGGGAGTGGGCTTGATTTGAAGCTGAACAGGAGGAGCCTGTGGGAAAAGGGGCGGAACTTTGAGAGAAGACCGGGATCTTTGGAAATTGGCCGGAGCGATGGGGGGGTGGGGCGTTCGAAGAGGCTATCAACTTGGAAAGTGGGCCAATCCGTGACGCAAATCCGCTAGTCCCGCCCTCAATCCCGCCCCCCACTGCTTAGCTCCTCCGCTCCTAATTGGTGTTGGTTTCTCCGCCCGCCAGACGTCTTCGCCACTCTGCAGCGGTTTTACAAAGGTGGGCGAAGAGCTCAATGCTGAAGTGAACACGCTCCGGATTGGGTGCTTGTGAACCTTATTTGCATGGGCGTCAGGGATTGCCTGGCCTCTTCGGTGGCCTAGGAGGCGTTCGTCCTGTGCGTCCTGTTCTACAGCTATGGCTCGGCCAGCGGCAGCTTTCCGCCGCCTGGGCGCTTTGTCCGGAGCTGCGGCCTTAGGCTTGGCCTCCTACGGCGCTCACGGTCGGGGGCTGGGGACGAAGCTGGCACTGTGCTTGGAGCGTCCTCTGGGGTCTGGTGCATGGGCGGAACCTGTGGGAAGTCCCCGACCTCATGTTTATCTGCCAGCCCGCGGAGCCTTAAGCCTTTTGAAGTCCCCCAGCCGGGTCCAATTGGTTCCCAGTACTGCCCGAGCGTGTTCCCACCAATCGGAAGCTTCCTGGGGGTGGTGCCCTTTCTCGCCAGTGTCCACCTGGATCCCCTCGGATTGGGGGCGGTCGGGGCTGGCACTAGGACCGGTAACCTTTGCTTCTTTTCTCCACAGGCGCCCAATTCCCAGATGCCTACGGAAAGGAGGTGAAGTAACTGCGCTAGGGCTCCCTGACTCGCGGGTCTATGAAGGCAAAAAGTCTGGGGACCATTGGGGAAATGGGCGGGGAGGGGGAGGCGAGCCTCGGATCTCTAGAGCAGCAAATGCCAAAGGCTCTGTAAGCCAAAGGCCTAGGAGCAAGCCGAGACTTCCCGGGTGAGGTGGGGCACGAACTTTGGTCCCTGTATCATCAGGAGATCTCAGGCACCTGCACTGCCTGCTATATCCCTTCGTTTCTCTTTTTCTTACAGCTCTTTGACAAGGCCAACAAGCACCACTTCTTCCACAGCCTGGCCCTGTTAGGGGTGCCCCATTGCAGAAAGCCCCTCTGGGTAATCTTTCCCTGGGCCTAACCCCTCCTCTGGGTAATCTTTTCCTGTGCCTAACCCTGACCAAAACCCACACCCTCCCTCTCAGCCTGCCCTGTTCTTACAATCTTGTTTTCTGTGCCATGTCTCCATCAGGCTGGGTTACTGCTAGCTTCCGGAACGACCTTATTCTGCACCAGCTTTTACTACCAGGCTCTGAGTGGAGACCCCAGCATCCAGACTTTGGCGCCTGCAGGAGGGACCCTGCTACTCTTGGGCTGGCTTGCCTTGGCTCTTTGAGCTTCCTTTTGCTTAATTACTGGGTTTTCTGGGCAGTTTTTAAAAAAACAGTTGGAGTAAGAAGAGGATTAAAAAGGAAAGGCAAATAAACTTTGGTGTCTTTGTTCATCTAACCTCTTGGAGGAGGAGGAAGGGTGGGGATTCAACCTCTGAACTCCCTCCATTTCCTAAGACTTAATCAGTGAGCCTTAGGTCTGGGGATTCTGTCCACTTCAAGTTAACTTGTTATAATGTTCTTACCGTGGTGGGTATCAAAGTCATAAAGAATGCTCGAAATAATGCAGATTCCGCCAGGCTTGGTGGCTCACGCCTGTAATCCAAGCACTTTGGAGGCCAAGGCGGGCGGATCACATGAGGTTGGGAGTTCAAGACCAGCCTGACCAACATGGTGAAACCCTGTCTTAAAAAGAAAAAGAAAAGAAATAATGCAGATTCCTACTGAAGCACTCTTTCGGTCCTGAGAATCTGTATTTTAATAAGCTCATCTTGTGATTCTGATGCTCACTAGGTTTTTTATTTATTTTATTTATTTAGTTAGTTACTATTCTTATTTTGAGATGGAGTCTTGCTTTGTCGCCTAGGCTGGAGTGCAGTGGCTCCATTTCAGCTCACTGCAACCTCCACCTCCTGGGTTCAAGTGATTCTCCTGCCTCAGCCTCCCAAATAGCTGAGATTACAGGTGCCCGCCACCACACCTGACTAATTTTTGTATTTTTAGTAGAGACGGGCTTCACTATGTTGGCCAGGCTGGTTTCAAACTCCTGACCTCAGGTGATCTGCCTGCCTCAGTCTCTCAAAGTGCTAGGGTTACAGGCATGAGCCACCAAGCCCAGTCTGTTTTATTTTTATTTTATCTATCTATCTATCTATCTGTTTATTTATTGAGATGGAGCTTCATTCTTATTGCCCAGGCTGGAGTGCAATGCTGCGATCTCGGCTGACCACAACCTGCGCCTCCCGGGTTCAAGTGATTCTCTTGCCTCAGCCTCCTGAGTAGCTGGGATTACAGGCATGCGCCACCACACCCGGCTAATTTTGTATTTTTAGTAGAGACGAGGTTTCTCCATGTTGGTCAGGCTGGTCTGGAACTCCCAACCTCGGGTGATCCAGCCACCTCAGTCTCCCAAAGTGCTGGGATTACTGGCGTGAGCAACCCCACCCATCCTATTTTTATTTATTTATTTATTTTGAGGCAAAGTCTCACTGTTTCCCAGGGTGGAGTGCAGTGGCATGAGCTTGGCTAACTGCAACCTTCGCCTCCTCAGTTCAAGTCATTCCCCTGCCTCAGCCTCTCGAGTAGCTGGGATTACAGGCATGTGCCACCATGCCCAGCTAATTTTTGTATTTTTAGTAGAGATGGGGTTTCACCATAATGGCGAAGCTGGTCTTGAACTCCTGACCTCAAGCAATTTACCCACCTCAGGCTCCCAAAGTGCTGAGATTTTTTAAAATTACTATAGGGTCATGGTTTTCAGCCCTGTTGTTACAAAAATTTATCAAGCACCCACTTACTCTAGAAGTGAGGATTAAGGCAAGGCAGGAGTGTCCTTAGTTACAAAATACTTTGGGGTTCAAAGCAGGGACAGATCATCATGTTTGGGGATCAGAAAATGTGTCACAGTGCTTGAGATGATGCTTAAAGGAGCTCTATTGTGTGGAAAAAACAATGAACAAAGAACAAGATGGGGAGGAGAGGGGTTTGGAGAAATGGGAGTCTTCAGTGTGGGCTGAGTTTGAGTTAGGCAGGAAAGGAGTGGGAAAGGTTCCAGGGCAGGCTGGAGTGCAGTCACAGCATCTAGAAAACTGGGGCCAGGTGCCATGGCTCACCCATGTAATCCCAGCACTTTGGGAGCCTGAGGCAGGCAGATCATGAGGTCAGGGGTTCGAGACCAGCCTGGCCAGGATGGTGAAACTCCATCTCTAATAAAAATACAAAAATTAGCCAGGTATGGTCACACACACTGGTAGTTCCAGCTACTCGGGAGGCTGAGGCAGGAGAATCGCTTGAACCGGGAGGCAGAGGTTGCGGTGAGCTGAGATCACACCACTGCACTCCAGCCTGGGCAGCAGAGTGGGACTGTGTCTCAAAAAAAAAACAGATGGCCGGTCATGGTGGCTCACGCCTGTAATCCCAGCACTTTGGGAAGCTGAGGCAGGTGGATCACCTGAGGAGTTTGAGACCAGCCTGGCCAACATGGTGAAATCTTGTCTCTACTAAAAAAAAAAAAAAAAAAAATTAGCCAGACATGCCTGTAATCCCAGCTAGTTGGGAGGCTAAGGCTGGAAAATCTCTTGAACCTGAGAGGCAGAGGTTGCAATAAGCCGAGAATGTGCTATTGCACTTCAGCCTGGGCGGCTGAGCAATACTCTGTCTCAAATAAATAAATAAACAAATAAAAAATTAGCCTGATGTGGCGGTTCACTCCTGTAATCCCAGCTACTCAGGAGGCTGAGGCAGGAGAATTGCTTGAACCCGGGAGGCAAAGGTTGTGGTGAGCTGAGATCAAGCAACTGAACTCCAGCCTGGGCAACAGAGTGAGANCTCAAAAAAAAAAAAAAAAAAAGAGAGAGAGAGATGAAATGGGGTCTCACCATGTTGGTTGCCTAGGCTAGCATCAAACTGCTAGGCCCAAGCAATCCTCCTGCCTCAGCCTCCTACCCAGTTACTTGGGAGGCTAAAGTGGGAGGACAGCTACAGCCCAGGCATTCAAGACCGGCCCGGGCAATACAGTGAGAAGCTGTGTCTAAAATCATTAAAATAGTGTGATGGCATTTGCCTGTAGTCCCAGTGCTCGGCAGGCTGAGGCACGAGAATAGCTTGAGCCTAGGAGTTTTGTTTTTGTTTTTGTTTTTGTTTGAGATGGAGTCTCACTCTGTTGCCCAGGCTGGAGTGTAGTGGCATGATCTCAGCTAATTGCAGCCTCCGCCTCCCAAGTTCAAGCAATTCTTATGCCTCAGCCTCCTGAGTAGCTGGTCTTACAGGCATGTGCCACCATGCCCAAGCTAATTTTGGTATTTTTGGTAGAGATGGGGTTTTTCCATGTTGGTCAGGCTGGTCTCGAACTCCCAACCTCAGGTGATCCACCCACCTCGACCTCCCAAAGTGCTGGGATTACAGGCGTGAGCCACCACACCCTGTCTGACTAATCTTTAAAATGAAGAAATATTGTGATCTACGAGTGTACCCTCAATTATGCCACCTCCTTGTATATAAATGCTTCAGTAGCTCCCCAATTCCCCTCAGAAGACAGTCCAGCGTCTCAGCACAAGGCCCTCCACCATTTGGCCCTGTCCTTATCTCTCTGCTGACCTTCTCCCAATCCTCAGGCCAGCCCCTAGGAATTCTTCAAGTCTCTAATACTCTCTGTTGCTTCAGGGGAGCCTTGAAAGCTGCTGTTACAGGATTCAGGAGCTCAGTAGACCCCCATGTTGGTGATAGAAATTCTGGAATTAAAACTATGCAGATTGTATTTAGAGATACGGAATGAGATGAAATTACCTAAAATCTTCTCATATAGAGAAAGAATCTGCACACTCTTAAAAATGCATACCTTTAGTCGGGGCGCAGTGGCTCTGCCTGTAGTCCCAGCACCTGTAATCCTGGGAGGCAAAGGCAGGTGGATAACATGAGTTGAGGAGTTCCAGACCAGCCTGGCCAACATGGCGAAACCCTGTCTCTACTAAAAATACAAAAATTAGCCAGCGAGGTGGTATGTGCCTGTAATGCCAGCTACTTGGGTGGCTGAGGCATGAGGATCACTTGAACCCAGGAGGCGGAGGTGGCAGTGAGCCGAGATCGCGTCACTGCCCTCCAGCCTGGGTGACAGAGCAAGACCCTGTCTCAAAAAATAAAAATAAAAAATAAAATGCACACCTCCAGAAAAATTAAGTATGCCCTCAAAATATTATACAGATTGTACTTTATAAAGCATACACAAAAATAGAAATTAAAAATGAAGACAGCTGGATGCGGTGGTGTGTGCCTGTAGTCCCACCTACTCAGGAGGCTGGGGCAGAAGGATCGCTTGAGGCTAGGAGTTTGAGACAAGTGTGCTAAGATCAAGCCTGTGAATAGCCACTGTACTCCAGCCTGGACAACATAGCAAGACCCCATCTCAAAAAAAAGAATGAGTGACTTAAACTTTTCAATGACTTACTATTGCATTGCAAATAGATTCCAAGTGCCATCCCACTGCCTGAAAGGCCTGCACTGGCCATCCGGGCCTTGTGACTCTTTGTCACTACGTGGCATCTGCATTGCCAACCCACCACATTTTTTCTGCCTCAAGATTTTGAGCTGCTCTTTTCAGCCTGTTTTGCCAGTTATTCTTTGTGCCTAGAATACACTTCTCCACTTCATACATAGTTAGTTCAGCTTCAATAGGATCACCTTGGTGAGGCCTTCTAAATCTAAAGGGGTGCACCCTCCACCATCCAGCTGTTCACTGCCTCTCTGTTCTTTTTCGTTTTGTTTGAGACAGGGTCTCATGTTGTCACCCAGTTGGAGTGCAGTGGAGCCATAAGAACCTGCTGCAGTCTCTATTTCCCCAGCTCAAGCAATTCTGTCACCTTGGCCTCCTGAGGAGCTGGGACTACAGGTGTGTGCTACCATGCCTGGCTAATATTTAATTATTTTGTAGAGATGGGGTCTCACCAGGCACGGTGGCTCACACCTGTAATCCCCACACTTTGGGAGGCTTGAGGGGGGCAGATCACAAGGTAAGGAGTTTGAGACCAGCCTGGCCAGCATGCTGAAACCCTGTCGCTACTAAAAATACAAAAATTAGCCGGGCATGGTGGTGTGCACCTGTGGTCCCAGCTACTCAGGAGGTTGAGGCAGAAAAGTTGCTTGAACCCAGGAGGCAGAGGTTGCCGTAAGCCGAGATCATATCACTGCACTGCAGTGTGGGCAACACAGCGAGACTCCATCTCAAAAACAAAAAACAGATGAGATGTGATCTCACCATGTTGGTTGCCTAGGCTAGTCTCAAACTGCTAGGCCCAAGCAATCCTCCTGCCTCAGCCTCCTACCCAGTTACTTGGGAGGCTAAAGTGGGAGGACAGCTACACCCCATGCAGTCAAGACCGGC